ACATATCTCATGACAGCCCTGAGTGAGAAACAGCATAAATCCATTCTTTCCTAGAGGGAAAACTGAGGTCAGAGAAGCCAGGGACTTGTACAGCCACTTTGCTAGGAAATTACAGCCAGGGTCCCTGACTGCCCTAATTGGTCCCCTTTACTTTGCCCTCTGTCCACTGTGATGTCTCCTTACCTAGAGCAGGAGGATCACCTTGATAATGTTAACCTGATGAGCCTTTGGCAGCCACCTTGGTTATCAGTGTCTTTGATACTAGGACAAAAGTCCACGTGAATCAATAGTTATTTCCTTTTTTAAAAAGATTTAAAGGAAAAAAAGACCATTTGTGCACAACAGGGACTACTGGGACCAGAACTTTCTGGGTCCTTTAGCCTCAAGCAGGGCACTCCCAGAGCTCCAAGCCCATCTTCTCAATGGGCCTACATTCCCTTCTTAGTGTCTGCAGACAGTAGGATTGGCTTTGGTGGCCCAAAGGCACACGGAAGGCATTCTCTCCAGTTCTAGTGGAGTGAAGCACGTGCTCTTCAGCCCCTGCACCACAAGATAAACACAAGGAACTCAGATGCAGTGTCTGAGATTCTGCCGCTGCCTTGGTACTGGTACTGTACATGGCAGGCACAGGTCATATCACTGTCACCAGAGGGGTTACATAGCTTGTGTGTTCCCAGCATCACAGACCAGAGAAGAAATTCAAGCAGAACTGAAGTTTCTGGTGATTCTTTTCATGTGCTGTTCTGAAGCAGTAGCTTTTCAAAGCCTGTTTGCCTGACCAACATGAAACCTCCTAAGCAGAAAGTGTTAAGGGGAAAGAGAGGTGCCAGGATTGCAAGCACCTAAATGTCTTCAACTTCAGGCAAACTGCCAGAACCCTCCGTATAGGTCTGGCTATCCAGAATCTTCATTTGCACCTCTGTTTTTTGTTCAGAACACAAGCCCTCAAATGGTGCCAAGGACCCTCCTAGTGCAAAAAACACTTCCCTTCACAGAACGGAAAAATCACTGCTATGACTTAAACATTCTTCCATGTAGGTTCTGCCAGGTTAAAGTCCGTGAAAGTTGAAGGGGCAAGAGGCAGAATGGGAAGAACCAGCCCAGGAATCTGTAGTGGAGGTTTGTAGTCCGGTCTTGGCCACTTACTAGTCATGAGCTCTTGAGCAAGTCACAGAGCCTTTTGGGTTTCCTTTCTTCTGTCAAATTGGATAAGACCACTTATTCCATTCAGCCCAAAGGGTGCTTATAAGATTCAAACAAGCATGAGTATGTACACATTGGGAAAGTAGAGGAATGCGAGGCATTGCACACAATCCCAGCTACTCTAGAGACGGAGGCAAGAGGATTGTTAAGTTTGAGGCCAGCCTGGACAACTTGGCAAGACACCGACAAAGTACAAACAGCTGGGGAGGCAGCTCAGTGGTAGAGCACTTGCCTAGCGTATACAAGGTCCTAATTTCAATCCTCTTTACCACAAAGAGAAGAAAAGGAAGACAGAGACAGCATAGTTAATGGTACTAATTTTACCTAGAAAGGCTGGTAAGAGTTCTATTTTAGAACTTAGAAAATGTCAGGATTAGAATTCCGTAGAGAGGCTAGCCCCCTTCCTCATCGTCTCCCTTTCCCGCTATAGTCAAAGTGGAAGTTTTTTGTGTTTCAGGAAGTTTCGTCCTTTCCACCATCAGTTTAAATCCTTTCCTGAAATTTCTTTTCTGGGACCCAAAGATGCAAGTCCCTTTGAGACCCTGACAACCCCGGGCAGCTCACACTGTACCAGGTAGGTCTTTTTGATTCCTGAGTACCAAGGACTGGTGACAGGCCAAAGTCCTCCCCCTCAGGGCCCTGCTGGTCAGATTTGGGAATGGCCATCTGTTTGCACCTTTGGCAAAGTCTATTCTGGGAACTTAGCCCAGAGAAGAGAGGCACTGGGAGTATTCATCCATTTTATTTGGTGTTCTTCATCTCTACTAAGGAATTTAACTTAAGTGTCCAGAAGGCAATAGACTGGTTTCTCAAACTCAGATCTGTAGACCACCATTATGAGAGTGCCCCTATGGTGCCATTGAAAAGTGCGGGTTCTCTCTGGGAGTGGTAGCATATGCCTGTGGCACTTGCCAGTGACTCCAAACACTAAGGCAGGAGATCACAAGTTTGAGATTGGCCTGGGTAATTTTATAAGACCCTGTCTTAAAATAAAAAGGCCTAGAGGTGTAGCCCAGTGGTAGATGACCCCTGGATTTAACCCCTAATATGACAAAAAACATGGGTGTTTTTAATATCTCTGATCACATATGTATGTGTATATGAGACAGATGGTTCCTAGACTCAAGTCCACAACTATAGAATCAAAATCTCTGATCATTGAGCCCCAAAAGCTGCATTCCTAGAAGTTTCCAGGTGTTATCAGTGCACATCAAAGTTTGAGTCCTGTTAGGCTAAACACAAGGAATAACTAGGAATGAGACCAAAGGGACTCTACATTGTATGGCCATGGCGGCTTGTAGCCTTGTTTATGTTCATATTCCACAGATGTTAGAGAGTTTGAACTTCACTGACCAAAGTGGAAAAAGAATTCAGCTCATGTGGTGGACTAGCTGTTTTCTCAGATGCTCTCTAACTTCTGAGCCAAGGGCTAGTTCATGGGCTGTCTCAGCCCAAAAGCTCCTGGGATCATGGACAGCCTGTGAGCTTCTCATAGACAGAGGCTGTGGGTCAGGACATAGTGCAAATGAGAGGGGAAAAAGGAATGTGGCAGTAGATGGAGGCAGGAACTGGGAGAGAATGGCCTGAGGGTAAGTCCCAAATGTCTTCATTCTTTTCCTGGAAGGTACAACGGATACCAGGAGAGCCAGTTAGGAGGTGGCTCAGACAAAACAGGGTAGCTAAGCTTGGTATGACCTGGGGGTTGCAGAGGAGCTGGGAGGCCATAAAGGGAAGACAGTGAGGCATTGAAACTTCGGTATCTCCCTGGGCAGAGGATTGGGTCAGATAGGACATCAGGGTGCTCTGTGTGTGTGTGTGTGTGTGTGTGTGTGTGTGTGTGTGTGTTTGAATTTCTTTTTTTTTTTTTTTTTTTTCATTTTTCCTACAAACTATTCTAGTGATGGCCTCTGCTGTCCCTACTTATTCTCACCTGTGGTTTCAGAGATGTGGGTGCGGAGAAGACAGATAAGAGAGGCTGCACACTTGGGCGCAGTGGTACACACCTGTAATCCCAGCAGCTTGGGAGACTGAGGCAGGAAGATTGCAAATTCAAAGCCAGCCTCAGCAAAAGTGAGGCACTAAGCAACTCAGTGAGACCCTGTCTCTAAATAAAATTAAAAATAGGGCTGGGGATGTGGCTCAGTGGTTGAGTGCCTGAGTTCAATCCCCAGTACTCCCAAATAAAAGAAGAGGGAGAGAGAGGCTACCCACACAGAGGCTTCACCTTCCTTGTTGCCTCTCCTGCAACCCTTGGACAACTAGCACCGAGGGTAGGACAAATTTGCCCATTGTGCCTGCTTGGCCCCTTGGCCATCTTGGTCCTTCCCCTCCCTCACCTGAGCTCTAGGCCTTGAGCAGCAGCTCCTCCCCTGGGGACCCTAGTAGTGACCTCTTTTCCCCCACCCTATATCTTTCACAGAGAACTTAAGGACCAAGAGCCAAGCGTTCAGTCAGCTGTGTGCACCATGCCCAGGAGGAGGAAGGGCTATTGCGAGTGCTGCCGGGGGGCCTTTGAGGATCTGCAAGTGGTGAGCCGCTTCCCCATTCCCCACATTGTTCTGAGAGCGCCCAGCCTGCAGTCTCCACCTTGCATGTCCTCCATTGAGGCTGGCTGGAAGTTCCTCTCGTCCCTTTCCAAACTTGTCTAATGCCCTCTGCCATCTCTTGCCCTGGACAGCATCTTCAAAGTGCCCAGCACCAAGCCTTTGCCCTAGAAGCCCGTTCATATGCAGAAGTTGATCGGATCATCGCCCAGCTCAGCCACAGCTTTATAGAAGTCCCTTCCCAGGCCAGCCTCCCCAGGTGAGTGCCATAGCTGCAGACACACCTGCATTTTCTCTCTCCTGTTGCCCTCCCCAGCTGGGAAGGAACCCTCAAGTTGGCAGGACCAGTCTATAATATTTTCCTCACCTTTCCACCATCCTCTATCCTATTTGTTTTAGGGGTGGCCATTGGCACAGTAGAGAGTGAGCAGTTCTGGTTAGCTAGAAGTGGACATAGTTCCTGAGTTCCTCTGGAAGGTAGTGAGCAAGGTCCTTCTCCCTCTGTGGAAGTTACTCTCAGAAAGAAGGATTGCCTGGGGTTTGGTGGAGATTCCCAGACTCATTGAGCCCAGCTTCTCCAGCTACCCACCAAGGGTAGACCCTCTCCCGCCTGGAGCTGTGGCTTCACTTCTCACCCAGGTTCAGCTTGGACAGCCAGGTTCTGCTACTGTCTGCACCTACCAAAGGGCACAGCCTCCTCTATGAAGTCATTCAGTAGAAGAGCCTCTACCCTGTTCCTCTGGTCAGCCCCAACCACAGGCCACAAAGCCAAGAGGAGCACACATCATTGGCTGCTCCACAGTATCAGACCAAGAGAGGCCTCTCCCAGAGAGGCAGCTCTCTTCAGCACTAAACCCAGAAGAGGCCACTTGCCCTGTCCTCAGCCCCAGCCCAAGAGGTTCCCATCTTGTTGCCTGTTCTGGAGCTGAACCTGCGCTCACTGGGTATTTCTGTCCCCACAGGCAGTCAGATTCCACAGCTTCTGAATGTGACGCTCTCCATCCTGACACATTGTCCCCAAGCCAACCCTCCCCTCCCAGGGTAGCATCTCCTGGGATGAGGAAAGAAGATGACTGCCAGGCCCCAGGTACCCCAGAGCAGGATGGAATGGTGGACAATGTGGAAGCATCATCTGAGCCTGCAGGGACCGGCCAGGTACCTGGACCACTAGCAAGTTGCCAGGAGCTAGGGGGACCAACTGATGTGCTTGTGGACCCTTCAAAAACACCAGTTTCCAGGAGCCCCACTTACCAGCACCTCCTGCCCAGCTCTGATTTTATGGACCTCTCCTCTGGCCTGGACCTGGCATCTGTTGGTCACAAGCGGAAGATTCAGTTCCCCAGCAGCATCGCTGAGAAGAGGCCAAATGCCTCATTTCTTATACCTGGAGCCGCCAGCCCCTGTGGCCCCAGGACAGCTGATAGCAGGCATCTTCTCTCCCTTCCTCTTCCCAGCTGTGAATCTAAGCCCCAAGCCTCCCTCCGGCCCTTTTGCCACACACAGGCCTGCTGCTCCCTCCCAGACCCCTTACCCTGGCAGTCCACAGACAGACCAGTTGAATTTTGGACCACACAACCCCCCTGGCCTAGGAGAGAATGGCTCCTGAGACCTGAGGATTCTGAGTGTACAGCCCCTGGTCCTATACCCCAGCAGACTGACCAGCCCCCTAGCTGTCCCACAGGCCCCAACCAGCTGCGGGCCCACCTGCACTCTCCCGTGGGAGGGCCTGCAGGAAGCCAGGCCACCTCACTTCCCCATCCTCTGCCAGCCAGCATGGGAGCCAGCTGCTCCAGATGGTTCTGGGCCCCTTCATCTCTCCAAGTGCCTTGTCTCCCTGTCTCCCAGACCCAGCCCTCACCCAGAGCTGCTTCTGTGAGTCCCTAGGTTTTCACACAACCGGCCAGCTCCAGCCCGCAGAGCCACAGATCTAAGTTCTACCTTGCTTGGTGTTGTACACTGGCCAGGGCCAGCCAAGACCAGGGGAGTGGAGCCCTAGGTCTGGTCTTTGAGGTACAAGTAAGTAGCTATGCCCAGCCTTGTGGAGCCCATAAAGCAGACCTCCTGCCTGCAGGTTTGGGGGAAGGACCGAGAGCCTTAGGCTAGGGGCTGCTCTCTCCTGCCTCTACCTCCAGCCATGGCCAGCCCCACACCCGGAGGCAGAGGCAAGACTGGCATAGGGAAGGAACCATGAAGAAGCTGGGGTGGCAGGAGGCTTGCTGGCCCAGCATCCAGGCTCTTGTCTCTTGCAGAGCAGAGGGTTAGTTGTTGGTGTTCCCCACCCCCTCCCAGCCTCCTTTCCCACAAGCATGTGGTCTCTCCTGCTCTCGGATGCCTGTGTGTGTCCCCTCCCCCAGCCCCCCACGCTCACACAGATCCTCAGGAACATATGAAGCAGAGGAGGGGCCCAGGCTGCAGCATTGCAGCGCTCCCTCCCCCATGCACTTAGTCGGGCCCAGCACTGACCTTTCCCCTGAGCCCAGGATGCGGCTGTATCCCTCTTTGGGGACCCTTCAGCTCTCCTCTGCAGCCTCATCTCAAGCTGCCCACCCGGAGTTCTGCTGTTCCAGGGTCAGTGTCTCACCTGCCAACTTCTGCATCTCCCTCTTCCCTCCCTCCTTCCCCAAGGACCTCCCCCCATTTCTTACTGCCAAGCCATTAATCTGGAGACAGAAATGGGTTTGCTATCGATTCTTTGGCCACTTTTTTTTTTTTTATTACAATTTGTACTGTGGTTCTTCTCACCCTTCTGCCTTTGTGTGTTTGTCTCTTTAAATGTTGAAGCTCTCTGAAGCCTGGTGCTATTCTGTGTCTCCTTTCAGAGGAAGAAAGGGGGGCCTGGCTGCGGGTGAAGACCTGAGTTGTTAGTTTGGAAATAGAGCAACTGTGTGCAGCCCTCCTTAGAGGCCCTGTTTGGCCTTTTTATGCCATTCCTGTAAAATTTCACAATTCATCTTGATTTGGGAAATGTGAATAAATTTGTTAAATAGCAAAGAGATGGAGTTTAATGTCTCGGGTGACCCGAGGCAGGGGTGAGGGTCCAGCAGATACCAAGAAAATAGCCGGGTAGCAGAATGGGGCCCCCTACAAGTGGGGAATGTGAGTGTCACCACCCTCCTGTGGCCTGGCCTGGGTGCTGAGGGCAACAGGAGCACCCATCCTTGTTCAGCCTCTTCCTACTCCCGTCTGGGCACTCACTTGGCTCTGCTACCCAGCAGAGGGCATGCCCATCACCCGCCACCAAGAAAACTCCTCTGCCCCAGTGGGCATTCCTGCTCCGAATCCTCTCCCCTTCCTCAGGGCCCTGATAATGGCTTACTTCTGGGCCCTACTAGGAATGTCCCTTTCCTTTTGTGACATACAGAGATGACTGCTCCCCACTGCCTTCCCCATCATGGCACCCGATTCTCCTCTTTTTCAGACTTTGCTGGTACCTTTGTGCGCTGTTCACTCAACACCTATCACACGGGTTCTGATGCCCTCCTTGCCATCACCAGGGGCCATTTCTCCCGCCTCATCTCTGACCCATCTCAATCACGGTGACCTCAGACATTTCTGCAAGGCCATATCCTCCAGGCTACAGTATCCAGTCATTTGTCCAGTCCGGCTTCCAGGCTTAAAGTGGAACAGCCAACACCTGAGACACCCAGGACCTATGGGTGCTGCTTGACAAAGTTGGGCCTTTCAGTGGTTCCTTGACTGTTCAGACCACTGTTCTTCAAGTCTACTTTCCCCAGACACCCCTTCTCAGCAGATGACCTTGACTCTGACTCATTCGGCCCTGGGTCATCTTGCTGACATCTCCTTCAACATTATCTTGCTCATTGTTTCTCTTTCAAAGGAAACTCTGTCCTTCTTCCCCAAGTCACACTGACCCTATGCTCTCCAGCCACCTTGGTTTCCTCAACTCGCCACCTCTCCTTTGCCTGAAAACTCAATGCCTGTCCATCCTGGAAGGTAACTTGAGTTGACTTGGCAGCTTGAGGGCTCCTCCTGTTCTCTGGCTCCTTCCTGAAGCTGCCTCCATCTTGCCTTTCTTCCCCTTCTGAACTTCCTTGGTGGTTCTGACTGAAGCATTGCCCTTGGGATTGTCTATTCCAAGGTCATTGGATAGCCTGCTAAAGTCAAGTTCCTCCTTTTGAAACCTCAGTCCTAGCAAACCCATCTTAGCCTGGGTCTACCCCCACCCAATTGCTGACCATTGCCTGCCCACTCAGCCACCTGGCCATCATTCAGCCCATTCCTTAGGTGTCCCCCTCAAGTCAGCCCCCAACCTGGATGAGCCCTCAGCTCTAACTGCTTTCCCCACACGAGCTCCGGGACCCTCGCTCTCTCTTCTCACCGTCCTTTCACTTCACTACAAGTGTGACCTGCACAGGTAATCCCTCCTCTCATCCCCTCTGAATTCCAGTTTCATAGGAGGATGGTTCTGATGAGCAAAAGCAGGATCTCGCTGCTTCCCAAACTCATTACTGTGGCCTCAGTTTCCTCATCTTGAAATGAGGGGCATGGATGAGATGATTTCAAAGGTCCTCTCAATAATAAAATGCCATGACCCCACCAAATCACTTCCCTTTCCTACCGCCACATGCACAGACCTGAGACAACTCAAAACAAGACCCAGGGCCCCCTTTGTGCTCATTTCCCCAGCTTCTCCAACTGCAACCTCTAAGTCACGTCCAATCAGTCCCAAGTCCTATTTCCTCCCTCCTGAATGTCTTAGTCCACACACCCACTCTTCTCTTTGTCTCTGCCACCTCCCAGCCCCAGTCCCATCCAGCCTGGTAAGCCCACTTGTCTGAATGCCATAGGCAGTTCAGCTTCCAAGTTTGCCCTGGTCCCACCCTCAAATGCCCACAGTTCAAGGCACAAGTTCCATGTACCCCTATAGTGTGGAGCCATGAGGGCCTAAGTCCAAGTCCAGGTCCTGCTACTTACCTCTGACCTTTGGCAAACTCCTGAAACTGTTTTTGTTGTTGTTGTTGTTTTAGAGAGAGCGAGAGAAAGAGATTTTTAATATGTATATTTTTTAGTTTTCAGTGAACACAACATTTTTGTTGGTATGTGGTGCTGAGGATCGAACCCGGGCCAGGCGAGCGCGCTACTGCTTGAGCCCCTGAAACTGTTTTCTTAATGTGAAGTGGAGGTAACATTACTTCCTACTCGCTAGGAAGTCAAAGAATCAAACTGCATCTGTGTGAGGTACTTGGCACATTAGCAAACCCCCTTATTACCCCCTACACACCTGTGCATTTTCCCTCCTAAATTGAGCTTACTTCACTAATCTTCCATCTTGTGATGTCCCTCTGTGACCTTTATCCTCACCCCCAGGGTAAATTTGTGGATGAAGGAGCACTGGAAGACACCCTGTCCCCAGACTCACCTTCCAAAGTCTGGCTCTCCAGAGCTTGGAGGATCTCTTGTGTGAGGAAGGGGCATTTGTGCCCCACAAGCCTTTGAAAAGACAGATGTGCCTTGGATCTGGTGCCCCAGGTGCCTGGGCAAAGCCTGAGAACTCCATAGATTCCAGGAGAGGGAGGAAGAGCATGAGGTGTCTCTTGGAGTGGTGGCACTGTGGCACTCCCTGTGCTCCCCACTCCTCACCATGATCACATCAGGCCTACTGTCTGCATGTGCACGGCATAGAAAGGGTCCTGAGGCTCCCAAGCCATAACGGGGCCTTTTGTCCTGGACAAGGGTCAGGAAGCTAGTTCCTGAGCACCTTTGACACCAGATCAGGTTGATGGCATCTTCCGTGTGCCAGGCACTGCTTGAAGCACGGGAGGCTCAGCTGCCTATCCTCCCTCTCGGGCAGCACTGTGAGGAACCTGGCTGGGGGACCTGCTCAAGGTCACATTCATTAGCTAGGGGAAGCTGGGCCTCCAACCAGGAGCCCAGGGCCTGCTGTTGCCACTGCACCATCCTCCACTTCCAGGAATCCCTGTCATCCCACTGCAGTGGGCTCCCTCACCTTGCAGTTGCTGTGACAAAGTCTGAGTTCCAAATTACTCCAGCTTGGACCTTGTGAGGGAAGAATTAGCCAGAGGGCAGGAAGAGCTGCAGGGCTGATCCCAGGCCTCCTGATGACGGTCATTCCTGAGGGAAGACTGAAGGTGGAGATCAGAGCCCAAGCCCTGAGCAGAGCCACACAGCAAAGGTGACCCCAAGGGTGCCATCAGGATGGCAGAAACAGAGGCCATCATTCTCAAGTGATGGCCACAGGGACCAAAGGAACCGGTCACAAGCCTTCCCCAACCTAAGGCGCAAACAGCCCTTTTGTTCAGGTCTGATAAGGAATGCAATCCCACCCTTGTGAGTCCCTGTGTGATGGAGGTAGCTAGTTGGAAGACAGCCCCCAACCTTAGGAGGGAAAATGTGAAAGGGAAATTGAAGCAAGCTTCCTGTTTGGCCATGTGACTCAAAAGTCACCCCAAGGCTGGGAAGTTCACCCCAACAGGAAGCCAAGGGCACCAGAACCACAGATGTGGTAGGTGGTAGCTGAAAAACAGCTGGACTTCAGGTCTAGGCTTGCTGTGTGGTCTTGAATAAATGGAAGGCTTGGATTCTTCCAGCCCCAGCACCATGAAACAAGCCTCACCAGCCCTGGAGAGTCAGGGCTTACTGATGTGGCCCTGGGACATGGCATGGCACAGTGGCAAGACAGTCACTTTGGTATCTGGAATGCCAAATAGGTGGAGGGTAAGGAACCAGATGTAATAGTCCCCTCTAGTCCCAAATAGAGGTAGAGGTGGAGGTGGGATAGGACTGGCCAGAAGGGACTGGAGCCCTAGCATTTTGAATATATCTTTCACTGAGTGACCCTGTGATTTGAAGAAGCTCATGTAGTCCCAGAGCCTCAGTTTCCCCACCCATACAATGGAGAGGATCATCTTTCCATCCTGGATTACCAGTCATGAGTTTCTAGGGAATACCACATAGTAGGCCATCGTTCCCAGAACCTTCTTTTCCCTACATCCTGGAGGAGGTTTTCAAAATATCTCCAGAATGAAGAAAGAATTTGCTCAGTCTTGCTGAGCATCTGGGGCTGGAATGGCAGGTGGTTGGGGGGGGGAGATAGTCACCTCGTTCCAAGCATTGATGTCAGCGCCTCCTGGGAAATTGCCTTCTCACCTCTCCTGGGCCTAAAATAGAGCTGGGGGAGAGGGGAGGTTGTCACAAGCCAGAGGCACCTCCCAGGTTCCCATCAGAGGCCCTGGGGAAGCAGAACAACCAGGAAGGACTTCCCTGCCTCCACTCTTGCTCCTCAGGGACCTGTGGTCCCCCAGGGTGTGTATAAAGATGCTCTGGCCTTGGGAAAGTCAAGGTGAGAGCTCATCAGTTGCTTATCTACCCATGCCATGCCCTACCACACCCCAGGCACCCAGGCATTGGGCTCTTGGGACTCCTAGCAGAGGTCAGGGATGCCAGCCTCTAGTTCTGGAACCCATCTTACCCAGGAGCTCAGTAACTGGGTTGAGGGCGCAGCTGGGAAGGTAGGTTGGGCGGTCAAGTTTAAGGCAACCTATTCTGACCAGAGGGGAGGTGGTAGTCTGCAAAAGCATCTTCTGCTCCTTAAAGATCTGGATAACCACAAGAGGGGCAGAAATGGGGCATGCTAACAGCATGGGAACACCTGGGTGGTTTATATTTTATTTAGGGGGAGGTTCCCTATGCCAAAGACTTAGGAGCCCAGAGAGGAAAGCCAGCCTTTCCTGGTGGTTGTGATGGCAGCAATCCCTGATACCCTCCTAGAGGCAGGGGAGTCTTTGATCAGAAGAAGTAGCCTGCCAAGTGGGAAGGGGTCCCAACCGCAGGTGTGGGAGGACTGCAGTGATCTGCTCTGCTGCAGATGGACAAGAGATCCGGAAGGCATGGAGCAGGGCATTCGCCAAAACAACAACAAAACCTCTGTCCATCTCTCCACCTTCCGGGCTCCCGCAGCCTTAGGTCAGCCGGGACACTCAGGCTGAGGCCAGGGCAGTCTTGCTGAGCATCTGGGGCTGGAATGGCAGGTGTGCAACACCAGTGGGTGAAACCGGGTC